GCAGCAATTTGCGAATTTCGACCGCCAACTCAGGGAAATTTATGTTTTATAATACATCATATCCCTTGTGTGCATGTGTATGTGCATAATGGTCCAGGTCGTCAAAATATTTGGCGCACGCTCGTTAACTACGTCTATGTGGGTCACAAAAGATCCGCTTCCACGGAATAACCTATTTGTGTTCCACCTCCGTCTCCTGTTTACATACACAGACAAGCCTACGTCTGCACCTAAGAAAGTGTATTCACTCAACACACATGCCGCAATGAAGAAGTTGTGTTAATGTCAGGCTCTCGGTTAACCACCAGGTTTAAGCACCAGTTCATCAGGATTTTGTATTTTGGCGTGGTTGAATTTTACGCTCAAATTCAGTGTCCAGCATTTATGCCGCTCTGTTTGGTGTCAGTCTGCGGGTGAAACCAACAACGGTTACACTTCCGTCTCTGCCTCCAACCAAGACTCGTGGCATATTCAAACCGGATTTCCCAGCCCTACACCGTGATCCATCATACGTGAAATTATCTACTGTGAATTCATTCCGTGCCAGCTCTAATAATGTTTGCAGTCATCTATGATTAACCGCAAGAAGATAACTCAATAACATGGAGACGATTTGTAGCGCCCAAGAAGATAACTCTTATCTTTCATGTACAATTTACTTGTTGACCGATTGCACATTGCTCCTTCTTGTTTTAATCTTACAACCGGCTCGACACACAACTGCCTTGTAAGTTCCCACGCTCACGTGTACGCTCTCGTCTCGCTTCATCCGTACGCTTCTTGTTGTAGCCCATCGAATACAGTCCGCTGTGTCCGACTCCAATTGTCTTCTGATATCCGCGCTTGATTCCGCGACTCGTCTCGGACTAGTATTAACTAGTCCTACAGATTTCTTTCTGTGTGACACTATTCGATAAAGAACTCTGGAAGCATTCCAAAAAGCCTAAGCTTATTCCTATCCGGCGCTTCTTAACACAGCTGTGAAGGAACCGGTTACCTCCAAATCTTTTCAATGCGGTGTTCGGATTCCTGTAACAGGTTCCAGTCGCTTGCCGTATCTTGTTACCTTGTCAGCCAATGCGTCCGCATAAGCCATCACACACACCGTGAGACTAAGCCCCTTCTCATTTAACCATGCAACCTCTGCGTTCGCCTTACCGATATGCACCACTCTCAAAATTGAAAACGTACAGAACCCCAGCCAACAAAATGGGTCAGGTAAGGACACTATGTTTAATGGTAGAAATGCGACCCTGAAGAGGCTCCAAGTAACAGGCACTTGCGGGTTAGGAGAACGTCATCGAGTAGTTAAAATAGGTTTGTCTTGTTCGCTCAGTTTGGAAGAGTATCATGCGAAATGGGCAAATGTGTCCCAACAGCAGGTACGAGAGAACATTATCTCACAAGATGCGCTTTGGTGATGTAATGCATGTTTGACCATCCCAAATGTTAAGGGTTTGCTTATCCTAGTTCTGGAGTGCGACCGGTTAACCACAGAAGCCCAGCACAGGAGAAAATATAATGGTACTTCAATGGAAGTGACTGGACACCAGGGATTGGTAGCGCACTCTATGCAAAGGTATGCCGTACAATCTGCATTACCTGAACCGCCATCAGCCGCCTCTCCATCTCCGTTGTATTCCAGAAGTTTAGTAGAAAGCCGGGAATAAATCTGCTGTACCTACGAATGTTAAGCAGTAACCAAGGTAAAGCAAATCATGCCCAACTTGCAACCTTTGATTAAGCAGATTCCACTAGACCTGATATCTAGCATTAACAAGGATAAAGTAATCGAACACCAACCCTGAATCCCTGTTCCTCAAATGTCTGTTGTCGAGAAAAAACCATCCGGAACCTCAGGTACCTATGCAGAGATTGCTGCAAACGTAACCTGGGAGGCCGCCATTGCAGCCTCTTCTGTTGTAAACACTGTAAACGCCACTAGAGAGACAAACTGTAAACGATCAAAACTTCTCAGCTGGTCAGAACAAAGGTCTACCTTACCGTGCAGGGCAATGACAAATGGATTCAACAATAGCGTCCGGACTGCTGTATGCTTAAATGACCCTGAATCTACATGCATCCTACTGCGAGTTAAGTTATCGGATGACCAATACCAATGGAATCCATTGTGTGTGCTAATGAGTGTTACAGCAAAGCCCATAAACCTATTATGAATTACACATCATCCAACCTCGCCACACTTCCTAGAAACGGGACTAATCCGAGTAACACTAGAATACTCCACCGCTGTAGAAAAAGTTTTGCTCTCCGCAAGCACGCTACTACACAGAACCTGTGGGCAACGCAACTATCTTAATGTCCTGGGAGCGCACGACAACCAAAACGATACACCAAAGGGGGGGGCACAGCAAAAAAGACTGCCTAAACACAATCTTCATACACGGCTTGCCAGAACCTAATTCTAACGATGTTCAAGAGACGGCAGAGCACGACTTAGCATAGTGGTGGTTCATTCATGAAGCGCTTTCTTTGGGTAATATTGTGGCACTCTCGCTTAGAAGGATCCCTCACTCACCAAAATATAGAGGGTGCAGCCCCAAGAGTCCTAAATCTGGTAGTCTACTCAGAACAACACGCAACGGATATTTTGGATCGATGGCGGGGAAATCAAACTTTTCTTCTTGCTGATCTTAGGTTAAATATCTCAGAAACTTTGCAAATTTCAAATACCAATGCAGCTGAGACGGCAAAAGTCCTGAGGAGGTTACAGCAGCTTAAGTCGAATGTTGCCTCACTTGATTCTAACGTAAATATAAACGAAGATTAGGACGCACGTTAGTCGAATCAACTTCCAGACGAGGTATCATTATCCCAACAAAAATCGAGTAATTGTTTATCTCTTATCGGTCGGCCTTCGCCCCCGCTTGAGCTCGTTAGCCTTCAATGGGCTCCTAGATACGGAGAAATTGGCCTGCCTTTATACGAATGCCCAGGGTCTTTTCAATAAACTGGCCGGACTGAAATATTGCCAAGCTTCCGGATCATCTGATATTACTGGTATCACTGAGACGTGGTTATACGCAGGAATGAGGAATGCTAAATTTTCGCTACGGGGCATGTCCCTGATCCGGAACGATGGGCGCGCAAAATGAGGAGGGGCAATTCTGTAAAACAGAAGCGACTTATATTGCGAAACCGTGGAGAAACTAGGCACGTATATCCGACTCCCTTCGGTACTACTTGCAGTCAAATGCAAAATGGTTGCCAAAATATCATTGTGTAATGCCTGTTTAACTCTACCCCCGAAACCCATTGCCTTCTAGCGGATGCATTAAGATGCATTTTACAGCGATAGTACACTCACAAGCTTATCATGGGTGATTATGACTTTTCATTATTTAGAACATTTTGCCGCGATCCGTGAACAATTCAGAGCTGATCTACAGGATTTCGTAACCACAGTTCCTCTTTACCATCACAGCCTTTTGCTCACTGGGTTCAGAACAGTTAACAGGCCATCTGTGCTGGATCTTATGCTTACCAACGAGGCATATATGATTGACGTGTTGGTTTTAGACTGTCCGTTGGGTCGCATTGATCACGCAGTCATTAGTTTTAACTTAGTCTGCTTTGCAACATATTGGAACAAGTACGATGAGATTGTGCAAACCATCACAAGCTACGATCAATTAGCCCAGCTATTCAGCGCTACAACTTGGTCCTTCCTTGCCGACGAACCTCTGGAGGTCGCCTGGCTCGAGTTCGTCAATAAATTCAGTAAGCTGATCGCAATGGCTTCAGAGGAATTAACAGACGTAAAAACCCATGACCCCGCCCCTCGCAGCCACCCCACACCCCACTACCATACCCACTCCCCCTACCGTAACCTCCCCGCCCCCACCAACTGCCACAGCCTCCCTCTCCTCCCCGACCCCCCCCCCGATCGCTGAGGGGTCCATCCCCCACAAATCTTCTTCCCCCCTCCCCCGCCCCATGGACTTAACCCTTCCCAATTTTACCTACCCCCCTTGATTCCCCCAAACCCGCTCTACTCACTGACACCCCCCCCCATATTCCCCCTCTCCTTCCCCCCCACCCCCGTCCTCCCGACGCTCCTTTATGTCTCTCCAGCTCCCATCCCTTTGCAATTAACCTCTACTTTTTACCTGTCTGCCCCTTCCTCCATTATTTATTAATTCCTCCTTTCCGATCCTTTCCTCCGCTTTTCCTAACCTCTCCTCTTAGCCTACCTCCCCCTCCCCTTTTTTTG